GAAGCCTGGCCTAGATAAATGCAAAAACTGTAGAAATGTAGAGTGACTCCCAAATAAATAGCTCTTTTTGTTCATTACAGCATTTCAGTAATTTTACATTAATAACATTTTAAAACCATAATCAGCTGAACTGTCGGAAATATCGTTTGAAAGAAGATTTTGCACTTGGGAATGGAGATGTTATTGAATCCATGGAAGAGAGCGAGTTCTACAAGTATTTAGGATTCCAACAGGCCAAACTAACAGAACATACACAAATAAACCAAAGATTAATTAAAGAATGCCAAAGTAGGTTAAATGCTATTTTCAGAACACAGTTAAAGCAATATACACATATGTCGTCCCAGTACTCACTTATTCTTTTGGAGTTATACATTGGACTCACATAGATCTCAAGCAACTCCAAGGAAAACAAGAACAACACTTACTAAGCATAAAAAACATCCTCCTAAATCTGCCATAGAAAGGTTAACCCTTCCATGTAAAGATGGCAGATGTGGCCTGATTGACATAGCTAACCTTCACTACAAACAAATACAGACTCTGCAAGGATTTTTCTACAAAAAAACAAGAAACATCACAATTACATAAAGCAGTAACTCTAGCAGACTCAAATAACACACCATTAAACTTACACTTACATCATACAGACATGACACAACATATAAAAACCACAGACATCACAGTTACCTAAAGCAGTAACTCTAGACACCATCAAGCAATTGTGGGCTCAAAAGACACTCCATGGCAGGCATCATTATGACTGATCCAGGATTTTGTTGACAAAACTGCGTCAAACAGCTGGTTAGTTCGGGGATGCCTCTTTGGGGAGACGGAAGGATTCATGATTACCATACAGGATCAGATCATAAATACTAAAAACTACAGAAAACACATACTCAAAGATACAACACTCACGAATGACACATGCAGAAAATGTCACATCATGCCAGAAACTATACAACACATCACTTCAGGTTGCAAGCTCTTGGCACAGACAGATTATTTACACAGACGTAATCAAGTAACAAATACAATACACCAAGAGCTTGCAAACAAACACAAATTATTAGACATCCACAAAACCATACTACAAATGCATCCCACAGACAGTATTGGAAAACAACACGCACAAAATGTATTATGACAGAGCCATAATCACAGAGGAAACAATTTACCACAACAGACAAGACATCACACTCATTGACAAGCACAATAAAATCACATACATTATAGACATGCCATTCCAAACACTCACTATATACAAAACACATGCATTGAAAATATCAGCAAGTACATGGAACTCACCCAAGAAATAAGGCATCTATGGAGGGTTGGTAAGGTGCTTATTGTACCTGTCGTTCTCTCCTCTACAGGTGTTGTATCACACACACACACTACACAAAAGCCTGTGAACATTACAATTGAATAGAAACACATACATCACACTACAGAAGGCCACTATATTGAATACATGTCATATTTAAACACCAACCGTATGCCGAAAATCTATCTAGCTAGTTTAAGGCAAGATACTAAATGAATTACGTAACCAATTTGGCTCTAGAGGTAAGCATAACACTTACCTCTAGAGCCAAATTGGTTATGTAATTCATTTAGTAACCAATTACACAACCAATTACCAGTAACCAATTACGTAACCAATTTGGCTCTAGAGGTAAGCATAACACTTACCTCTAGAGCCAAATTGGTTACATAATTCATTTAGTATCTTGCCTTAAACTAGCTCGATAGATTTTTGGCATACGGTTGGTGTTTAGTTATGTTATATATCGGGTTTAGCAATGTTTGTACATGTCATATTGTTAGGAAATTTCTGAATACAGACACACACACTGACACACTTATCACTTATTTAATTTTTGTCTTTTTTTTTTGGTTACTACGCCTTAATTCTGGTCCGTCATAGTACACAGCCACTGGTATAAATTACTAAACCCCCATAATAATAACAAAAAAAAAAACCAAAACAAAACAATCAAAATTTTGTTTGAAACATTAAGCTAAATTATGATGAGAAATTCAAATTCAATATGGCAACCACAGAAAATAAAAAAAATTAAGCATTGGCAACTTGAGGAAATATAATTTCATAAATCAGAAAGTATAAACACAATATAATATCAATAATTTATGAAGTAATAATCATTTGTATGAAGTGTAGAATGCTTTTACATTTTAAAGACTTTATTAATTTTACTCTCTATTGCATTTAAATTATAAATGCGATTTAAGCGAATATAAAATATTTTCTAAAACAATCTTACTAAAATAAAAATTCATCTGTAAGATTAATATTTTGTAGTATGGTTTCAGTCAGAGCCTGGTGCTTGAACAATCCTAGGATTGTCCAATGCAAAGAAACTAAAACTTGAAATAAATTGATTTTGTTTTGGGTTTTGCCAGCTGTTAGTGGACTATCTTACATTTGCACAATCATAGTATACTGGACAATCTGCTGAGTATCTAGAACAGTTCAATTGATGACACCCTTTGCCTGTAAGGAATAAGAAGCAGATTGTCTTATTCCTTATAGACAACTTGTACTTTTACATTTCACAAATAATCTTTGATTATGTGCATGAGTGTAGCCATGCGACATTTTCTGTTTTCTACTTTTTTATTATTTTAACCTTAAAGAAATTTGCTTGATTTATTTTTTGCTTATCAGTAATCAAAAGAAATATTGACTTCAGTTAAAATACAATGAAAACTTTTTCATTGTATTTTAATATTGAAAATATGAAGAACTCTTACAATAAAAAAACTCAATAAAAATTTATAGTAGTCTGAAATAAATATTTTATCAAAATTAAAATATTTTCATTGATAAAAGAGACAGAAAAATATCTCATATTGGTTTAGTTAAATGATTTTTCTTCTAAAACTTCATTTTAAAAGAAATCTTTAAATGTTATTCACAATAAAACATTGTCTTGTCTGTCTATTGGATATTAGAGGCAGATTTGATAATATCTATTTGCTATAATTTTTCTGATATTTATTGATCATTAACCTTCCTATTGTTGGTAACTTAGTGTCTTTTTTGATAATTTTATATTANTGGTAAATTTAATAATTAAAAATAAATTAATTTTATTTAATGTTAGGCTAAGACTCCACTAGCGTAAAAACCTTTGCCGTAAAAACATTTAATCACATTTTATGCCCGTTTTTACACTAGTGGAGTCTCAGCCTTACAGAGTTCTTAATAACAGCATTAGACTTACATAACTTGGTGATTTTCTTACACAATTGATTAATTTGGCTGATGGTTGGTTGTTTACAAATAAATATTGCTTACACATCTCTTACTAGAATTATATTTAAAAAAGCCTTGGCTTCCAAATTTGAATCTGTTTTTATTTAATTTTCTTAAACCTCATTTATTCATTTGGAACATTGCCAATATTTTCCAAACATTGGCTTATGAGATGGAATTTGATTTCAGGCATAGATATAGTATGTAATATAATAATAAGACCCAATAACAAATCTATTAAAAAAGAATAGTAAGCTTGGCTTTTGCTTTTTATTTTCTGTAAATAATTTGTACAACATATAAAAATTCTAACTTTTATGTCTGGAGCAAAATTAAAAGAACCTGTATGATGTTACACCTATATATTACTGGAGCAAATTGTTTGATTTGCTCCAGTAAAAGTTAAAATTTGTTAAAAATTTCATGTTTGACATACTTCTAACTCCAAACCAAAACAGTGCTTAACTCAATATAACTTCTTTCTTTCATTAATGTTTTCGAACTTACTATCATCACAGAGATATACAGAAAACTGCAGGCAGATCAATTGTACATCACTGCACACTCCAATGACCCAAGGCATTATAAGGTAGCAGCATTTAATAGCTTGGTCATAAGGGCATACACCTACTCATCGACATTACAGACACTTGCAACAGAGACCAACACCATTAATACTATTGCCGAACAACACGGATATAATAATATGATAGCTATGAGGGTCAAAAAAAAGCTTCGTTTCCAACGAACAGAACAAACAGAAGCACAAGGGCAAGAAAATAACATTCAGAAAGATAAAATCCTGATTACTTATAATCAGTATTTATAGAAATTGTATAAAGAAATTGCCAAGAGAAAACAGGCCACCTTAATATTTAGAAGATGTCCTACTCCTTTTAGAATGCTAAGTAATGGAAAAGATATTCCACAACACGACAAATTAGCAGGAGTATACATGATCTCTATAAAAGATCATAGGTGGGATAAAGATTTAATATACGTGGGATCCACAAAAAGATCGTTGGAAGTGAGGCTCAAGGAGCATAAAGTCGACATCTTACATAAGAGACATACAATGGCACTAGCGCAGTACACCATGGACCCTGACATACAAGCATTATTTGATGAGGCAAAGATAATATACACGACACAGCAACCACACCATTTGCACTGGATGGAAGCGATCTATATATATAAAACACCAAGAGAAGATAAATGTATCAACAATATAAGTCGATAGTATCAACAATATAACAATCAACATATCAATAAGGATAGTTCATCCTTATTGATAGCCTGACAAACTCTTATGATACATGAGAAGCCAAAAGCTATATTTCTATCTACAGAGCATGCGCAAAGTAAGACAACAGTTGCATGGGTTTCCTTAGAATATTCCATTTCAGAATTTGTTTGAAAAAGATTTGAATACCATCGATTTTGTCTGTTTTTTCACCTGAAGAAGAACTGTAAGTTTGAAAACATTAGTGAAAGAAAGAAGTTATATTGAGTTAAGCACTATTTTGGTTGGGAGTTAGAAGTAAGTTGTACATTATACAGTGTGTTTGAATGTTTTTATAATTTCATGTTTGATTTTAAAATTTATGAATTAGTCTAAATATTTAATATATATTGTTTTGATTATTCAAATTTTAAACTTTTATATTTTCTTTGAATATTTAATTATAAATATTTAAATATTATGATTAATTAATAGGTTTAAATCATCTTTCTACAAAAGCCAATGGATATACTAGTGATGACAGCACACTTAGGAAGGTATTTAAGGTAGAAGATGATACTGTATCAAATACCAACTATTCTCAGTGTATTTCAATGTTCCTTGTGATTGTGACAACTTTATTTTTTGTTGTGGTTGGAATATTATATGTCGGAGTAAAACAGAAAGAGCTTCCATTAGGTGAAATAGGTATGTATTATAAATTTAATTAATTTCCTTACATAATATAAATGTAATTATAAAATATTTGTACTTTGTTTTAGTTAGCATTTAATTTAACAAAATAACATTTTGATTATTTTAACTGTGCTTAACACTGAAATTTTTCAAATATGGTAAACAACTAAAATTTTTATAAATTTCTAACTGCATTGAAAATATAAAGTTTGCAACAAACATTAGAAATGTATGAAATAAACATAAAACAAATATTAAATGTTACTAAATATTTTTGAGAATCAAATAGAATTAAAAATATATTCTATTTTATAAATGAATTGTGATAACACTGTTAAAAAATATAAATTATTTCAATTTTAAACATTTATTTTTCAAGTAAACGAAAACTCTAATATTGATTTGGTTTTTAATAATAAAGTATTATGGTAGATTAAAAATCATGCAATAATTAATACATTGTGATAATTATAATTGACTTTATTAAAGATGTAAATAAAATGTAAAAGTTTTTATTATAAATTTGATAAATTATGTTCAATTTTATTATTTTTATATATGAATGAACAGATTATATAAATATGTTTGTAAGATTAATGAAACAGTAGATTTCTGTTCTTATTTTATTAGCTATTTCTATTAATATTTCAGTTTATTAATTATCAGGACTGGCCCAAGAATTTTTGGCACCCTTAAATTTTTGCACTATAGGTTAGCAGTATGCAATGTTTCTGAGCTCATGGACCACTAAACTCACAATTTTGAATCTACACTATCACGAATTTTTTAAACAATACAAAATCTGTACAATAATGATCATAAAAGTTCAAAGTTCATGACCATATTTTTACTATATTAATATGAAACTCGCTTGTTTAATTATAACAATTTAATGCAAACCTAAAGATCATTGCTGCTTGTTTCAAATAAGTTTATGGATTCTAAGTGCTTTTTTACGAAGGACAACAATCACACTCACAATATTGTTTATTGTTCATTATTTATTGATAACAGTCACTTCATATTTGGTTTTATATTCTAATAAAAAAAACCCCAATGAGTGAGAAAAAGCAACTAAGCATTTTGCATTTCTTTCATAATACTTCGTGTAACCTTCAGTTGATCAACATGCAAATTTCTCCACAGGCAACTAAATTTTCTCCCTGTGGTCCATGGACCACTGTTCTAGGTAACTGCTTCTATAACTGGGTCGGCTCTGTTACTCACTCATTTTATACTGTTTATATAATTTACAGCAGGGCTTCTTAAACTTTTTTTATTCACGACCCCATTTATGATTGTGATTTTTTTCGCGATCCCAAAAAAAAACATAAAATAAAGATATATACCAGGGCTGTTTCGTCAAAAAATCCGCCGACTCCGACTCCTTTTTACTTCCCAACTTATGTATATACAATGGAAAAATATTGAAATCGTGTCAAATTTGACCCTCCATGTTTTGTTTGCAAATCTACACGTTTGGAGACCTTCCGAACCCCCCAAAAAAGTCAATAAAAGAGGAAAAATTCGCAAGCGTGTGTGTTTGCGTCTAATTTGTTTAATTTCTTTATTTTCCGTTCTGAGATATTGTTTAATATCTCAGAACGGGTAAAGTTTAAGAAATGAAATGTGGCACTGTAGCTTGCGTATAAAGGGGCATTAATACTATTAAATTTTGGTTCTTAATTAAAGGTCGACAGGGTGAAGACATAAAAGGGATCATGTGTCATATGTCTTAATGAATATTTTACTCGTTACTAGCGTTCAAAATTTTAAAAAAAATGTAAAACTCATCTCTACCCTCAAAGTAAGCTTTTTTGTCATTTTATAATAGTACATTTAACAGTAAAACCCATTAAGATATTCTCGCCTACGATGTTAGAATGTGTATGGGGACATGATTTAGTTCAACCACTCTTACGGTTAATAACTAACTCCTGTGTTAAATTATCTGACTACGATTCTAACCACTCTGACCACAGAAATTATTAGACTTCAAACAGGGTGAACAAAATCATGTCCCCCACACAGTCTAACATCCACACATATAGAAAAAACCTCAAATCTTTTGCATATCTCGAAATTTCAAGGTGTCCTGAGTCCAAAAATGTAAAAATTTGGGAGGGGTCATTTTTTGACCGATCATTACACTTTCCCTCTGTCATATATAACAGCCGGAAAAGTAAAAATTATCGAATACATATTTATATATTGACTGTTCATTACTTAGAGGAGTCTTTTAGCATTGGAATAAAAAGTTTCTACGTTCTATAATAAAGTTTCTATTTATTGAACCTTTTATTCTGAGGTCACGTGATGACATCAGAATTTCCGGATCTCTTTCGGTAACAAGTCCGCCCCTAGTCGGAGTCGGAGTTGGTAGATTTTTACGCGACTCCACAGTCCTGATATATACAAATTTGCAAAAACAATAATGGTGTACTACCACAGTTCACTCTTGTGTTACAATGGAACAGAGACAACTGAATACACTGAAAAGCGACAACACTACACTAGTACACACTACAGTGTTGCTGAATCGTCTCGCTGCACCAGAAGTGACACAAAGCGCAACTCACAACCTATGACACAAAGCGTGCCATTTTCAAACTCGTACAAATTATTTTCAATATTTTGCATTAAAATCTCGCTACCCCAAGATTTTGCTAAGCGACCCCAAATGGGGTCACGACCCATAGTTTAAGAAGCCCTGGTTTACAGCATAGCATCATGAACTAACTGGTATGATCCTTCAACAATAATTACCATTAAAATATGACAAACATAAACCTTAAATCCTTAGCAAATTTAAATTTACAATATGATGAGCTAAGAACATTCTTTAATATTATTGCTATCAAATTTGCAGTTTAAAATGAACACATAATTGTAGAAATTTTTTATTACTATTATTTATTGGTTTACTTTTGATAATATTTTGTATATTAGTAAATATTTCATACCTGTATTTTAAAATTTGTATAACAATAACATATTTTATTTCAGATCCTATTAAACCATTTGAAGGAGTAAGTATTTTTTATTATTTTTTATGTAAAAGAGAATTTTTTAATAATAAACAAAAAATAACCAATCATTATTTTATTTAATTATTCTACATTTTGATAAAATTGATAAGTAGCATCTGAATAATTCTGAAATGTTTCAACAATAAAACAGAATCAAAACATATTTTGTATTTTGAAATATAAATCACAAAGAATTTGAAACTTGTTTATTTCATTTGACTCAATAAACTAGCTAAAGTAATTATTTTCTTAACACTCGTTAAAACTATAATTAAACAATAATTTTGCAAAACATAAAGAAGTATTAATCCAGTTCCAAATACAAATCTAGTAATTGTTTTAATCAGCATCTTCATCTATCCTAAATTTTGTATATATTTTGGTACTCTGAGCAAATTTTATAAAAATAAAATTATCAGAGAAATTATATTTTTGGTCCTATTAATGTATATTATAGAATTATTTTTCCTAAGAATTGTGCATTTTATTTGATGATTATTATTACATTGCAATAATAGATAGTTATTATCTGTTTACATCTCAAGTTGTTTTCAGTTGATGATTAAAGATTTGACTGATAAAAGTTAGGAATTTTAGGAAGTAAATTACTAAATTCTTATAATTTTTATGTATAATTACTTCATTGATAATAAATTTGTTTTTTAAATTACTTATAAAATTAATATTGAAAATATGAAGAACTCTTACAATAAAAAAACTCAATAAAAATTTATAGTAGTCTGAAATAAATATTTTATCAAAATTAAAATATTTTCATTGATAAAAGAGACAGAAAAATATCTCATATTGGTTTAGTTAAATGATTTTTCTTCTAAAACTTCATTTTAAAAGAAATCTTTAAATGTTATTCACAATAAAACATTGTCTTGTCTGTCTATTGGATATTAGAGGCAGATTTGATAATATCTATTTGCTATAATTTTTCTGATATTTATTGATCATTAACCTTCCTATTGTTGGTAACTTAGTGTCTTTTTTGATAATTTTATATTATTCTCCATCATTTAAATTTCTTCTTTTTTCAATTCACTTTTATTGCATTCTTTATTTCTCTTGTAAGAATTGCTTTTAATATCTCAACGAATATAAATGTGTTGATTTAAAAAAGTTTTATAATGAAATAATTACATATAAAACATTTTCCACAAGTTGTTCTAAATAATATACGAGAATGGTTCTTTTTCAACCTCCAATGATGCATAAGAAAAAGACAAGTGTAAATAACAAAATGAATTTATTACCAAAAGTTAGGTACAAACATGGTTACTTTTCAGCATAATCTCCATGAAGATTGAGGTATTTGTCATATCTGTGGATGAGCTTTTTCATTCCCTCTTCCTAAAATGTTTCCACCAGTGAATTGGCCTTAACAATGTTGTTTTGAAGATCAACATTAGTCTCAAACCTCTGCCCTCCTAGCCATGTTTTCGATTCAGGAAAGAGGTGGAAGTCTTCACACATTAAAAAGTTCTAAGCTGGATGGAAGGCTTCACCACCTTTAAACACCCAGTGTATAGCCCTGATTTAGCACTGAGCAATTTCCACCTGTTTCCTGAACAGAAAAAGTGGCTAGAAGGGCAGAGGTTTGAGACTAATGATCTTCAAGACAACCTTAGGGCCCGTCTCAAGTCATTGTCGGCAACATTCTGTTAAGAGGGGATGGAAAAGTTCATCCACATATATGACAAATGCCTCAATTTTCATGGTGATTATGTCAAAAAATAACCATGTTTGTACCTAACTTTTGGTAATAAATTCATTTTACACTTGTCTTTTTTTTTATCAACCATTGGAAGTTGAAAAAAAAAACAGCTTATGTATGTGTAGACCTATATTACATATTGTATATATATACATAGTATATATAGTTACAATTTTTAATTATAAGAAATATGAAATAATATTTTATTGATGCATGTTTTTTAATTTTTGAGTAATTCAAACTAGAATTTTGCATTGTCACTAGAATTTAAGCAATATTCTATGATTGTCTCCAGAATTTTTTGAAAATTTGAATAGTCTGGAATATATACATTTTTTTAAAATATATTCTGTAATTATAAAGTTTAAAATTTTTAAAAAGTGTGAAAAAATTATTTACAGTAAATATATTAATAAAATACAGACTAATCACTTTTAATACTGAATAAAGTAAATGCAAGATGATGTATCAATACTAATGTTATGACTATTACATTTATCGAAAGTTCATACATGCAGTTGTGTGTAACAATTTTGAATTATTTTTTGATTTAAAGGTTGCAATTCAGAAGAGGTGTTTGGTGATAAAAATTAAACTGTTATAACTTTCAGAGTGAGAATCATTGAATGTACATTGTAGTTGTTGACAAAAAGAATAATTTTTATCATCTGCTTAGCATGGATGACATCAGGACTTTCTCTATTATTTTCTGCATACTATCATCTTGGAATTGCAAAAACATCAAACCTTTAAACTTTTTCCAATTAATAACAATAGCAGTTTTTCATTACTTGTCATATTTTCTTTTAAGAGTTATACATCTTTTGTATTTATTACTTTTGTGACATGAATCACCTTTGAATACCATTGTTTTGTTTGGCTGACATTTAAAGACTAAGCCTGTGCCACCTACATTGAAACTATCATTTGGGCTATAGTTTGTAGAATCTGGTAAACTTTTCAACCTTTTTGTATTATTCTCTTGCACTTCTGCACTTTCACCATAGATTTTATTTAAAACTCTTCCCTGACTCTTCTTAAATTTGCCTAGCTGCCAGCTGCCTGCTTTGAATCCAGTATGTCTGAATTGTTTAATCTATTCTCTAAGAAGTTTTTTATTGACAAGAATGCCACTTCAGCAAGCACTTTTTAGCACTTTTATTCTGTCTGATTCTGTTGTTCGTTGAAGCTCCAATATTCTCTTCTTGTTTTTCACGTTGTTATATAGAGTATTCGATGCAATGTTAAATTCTTTTGAAATTTATAATTTTTTTCTTTTTGTTTTATGATAGATATCTTTTCTACTATTGACAAAATCTTTAGTTTTCTGTTATTTGCCATGTCTATCTACTTTTGAGTGAAAATAGTCAATACACTGATTAACTGGTAACTGTCTGTGATAAAAATATCAGTTTAAAAAATTACAGTTTTAACCTATTTGATGCTGAAATTTTTATTTGTTGCTTGTGACGCCATGTTGAATTTTCGTGGATGTTAAGCCTAAAATTTTTTTTTAAAAATAATAATTGTGCTTACTGTATCGTAAAAAGTTATTTTTTTATGTTTCACAAACAAAATAAATATATTGAATAATATAGAAACAAAAAAATTATATTTTAAAAGTTCATTTTAATATAAAAATTGTGACATGTAGCTACATCTAGTATCAAAAACATTCTGATGTAATGAAAATATTTGGGATTGCCCATGCAGGTCAATGAGGTCAACACAAATATTTTCAGGAACAACGTAGGATAGGTTAAAGCACTAAAATTTGATTGATATTGATCAATCAAATTTTATAATAATAATAATAATGCTAATTTCGGTTTGAATTTTAAGTTGTACAATCAGAAGCATAATTTGAAACAATACCAATTTGCAATTGTGTGATAATATCATTCATTTCCTTGAAGATGCAACAGTCCACAAAATTAAACATGAAATAGAATCTCTGGATCTTAAATTTTTAGTTAGGAAAATGTATTCTCAAAACTATTTTGACTTATAGAAACAGAATGCATTGAATCTGTGTAAGTTGAGTCAAAATAAAAAAAAGTTTTGAATTAGACTTATTGAGAGTTTACTGTATCAGTTTTCCATATGAAAAAGTCAACAAAGTACACCCAATTCTGTTTTTATGTGAGCTTGTTTTACACAGTTGTGATTTAATGTAAATTAGAAAAAAATCTCATTTTCTTTTTACACAGTTTACTTTGATTTAACATGATCAACCCAAACGCTAAAGTAAAAATTTTTTGCATTATACTGTAGGTGGCACTTGCCTTGTATTTCACTGCCATGTTGTTGTTTGTGGGTCCAATTAGAAAAGAAATTTCTGGGGAATTCCCCTAATTATATATATAACATCAAGAGGGGATTTGTTATGTTTTGCATTTTGAATTTAGTGTTTAAAGTGAAAAGTATCTTTTTGATGTTTAATGGTATAAAAATCTTAATAAAAGTTACAACAAAATCTGTGCATATATAAATTTATTAATTTTGCTGAAAAGTCAATAAATGGTAAGTTATAATTTTTAAAGCTTTGTTTTATTGATAACAACTGAAATGTGTTTTGGTAGTCCTTATACCAATGGAGTAAGATGGCAATGTATAATAAGACAATATAAGATATTTCTAGCAGTAGCATTGAAATTGCTGTCTTGTGCAAACATATGCATTTATTGTCTGAGAGTGATAGTGAATAAAAACATGTTATGTTTAACTCATATTATTTTGTCTAAGTTTTGTGTTTATGAATTAGTAACATGTTTTTTCTTAGTGTTAATTTACTTTATATAATACATTTTTATACATGTGCAATCTTTATGAAATAAAAAGTGCAAGTACTGTGCATAAAAATGATAAGATTTTAACACAGTTTTTCATATGATTTATTGTATTATTTTTGTTGATTATTTAAGTCAAACAAATCTATAGTTTTTCTATATATACAACATATTTTTTTACATGCATTCTGTAGAAATGTATTTATTTATCATGTAAAACAGAATTGTGTGTAAACGAATTTTATAAAAAATTTTTAAATATACAGATATATATCATATTATCTAAAATCTTTTATACAATAAATCAAAATAATGTCTGTTTTAAGATTTTCTCATTAAAATATACTGTGTTAGATAAAAGTTTTTTATTTTAAAAAGTATATACAGTGGTGCCTCATATAACGTACTTAATTCGTTCCAGGTGCAAGTCCGTTAAGTGAAAAGTCCATTATACGAAATGCATTTTCCCATAGAAATACATGTTAAAACATATAATTCGTTCCACAGCATAAAATAACCATACTGTCCATAAAAAAATGAAAATGGAGCAGTCACCAATTATTCCGGGTAGTCAGATGTTGTGAGGAGGAGGTGGAGGAACACTTTCTTTACACATTCATACAGATACAGACTTTGTACACATTTCAGCAGGTCTCTTTTTATTATTTTTTAATCGGAGTCAGATTCAGGAGAGGCTACCGGAGCTTGCAGGGTCAACTCCTCTTGTTGCATCTTTTGTTTTTTTGGCAGCAGGTTTCATGAAAAACATGTCCAAGGTGGTCTGTTTCTCTCTCTTCTTCAACACCTGTCGGAGATGACGGGCAAGGGTGTCATTGTAGAGATCATTGATCCTGTTGGCCTCAGCTCTGTTTGGATAATGAGTGTTTGTAAACTCCTGAACCTCTCCCCATTTGACGAGGAAGTTTTTGTCAACTTTTACTCCTTCTGATGATGTCTTGCTTTGTTTCAATTGAAATCACCTTTCTGTTTTTTTTTTTTAGAAGCCATGATTTGCACGACACTTGAATAAATGTAAATACCCTGCACTGAGGTGATGTACATAATAAACAAGGGAGTAAGCCGAATCCCAACGGGAGCTCTGTACTTCAGATATTCTAATAATACTAATATATTATAAAAATAGCAGATTGTCATCGGCAACGGCAAAAGAGTGGAAACATCATTTGCACTTGTTCGCAGAAAGACCGTTGTTTACCTCACGTAACTGCCGAACGGAAAGTCTGTTGTTCGCAGCATCCGTTATTTGAGGCGTACGGTATACGAGGCACCACTGTATATGTGTTTTGATTTTCTTTCAAGATACATGCTTTATACTTGGAAGATAGGACTGATATATTTTACTAAACATATTATGTAAACTAATTGTTTTTTCACAATTACAGGATAACAACAGTAATCAGAATTCAGTTGATATTCGAAATATTGCAATTCTATTGTACAATTTACTATCACATATTGCAGGTAAGTAAATTTACACTTTTACATTGAAGCTATTTCAAACTTAACATTATAGAGAAAATTAAAATAAATAGTTTGTTTAATGGAAAATGTGAATATTTGTCAGTAGAAATTGAAAGTGTAACATCGTGAAAGAGTAAACATTATCACAAAGTTTGGTTAAAATTGGTTAAGAGGTGAAATAAGAATAAATGGTTAAATCTTTGCAGATTAACTTAGCACTTTTATGTGAATAGCCTTACTTATCTGTACAGTCCATAATTTTTAAGATTTATTATTTAGTTTTACTGTATAATGGTGTTTCTTCCTTTTTAAACATTTATGTGTGTCCATTTCTGAGTTTATAAGAAGTAACAGCTCATTGGGTTATATGAATAGAAAATGTTATTCTGAGATATTGCTTGCAATGCTATATGGAAAATTTTAACTGTGCATCATTGCAAGTCTCTGTGAATAATAGTAAAGTCTTGTAGATGATTCTTAACTCAATGACAGTGATTGGACAGAATTAACTGCTACAAACTGTTACACAGATAAGTTCTGTTGCTTGCTTATGTAGTTCCTGTATCATTATAAACTGCTTAGTTAACTAATACATGAGATTACATATTCTATTGAGATGCATCCTAGTTACTATGCCTTGTAGTCATGAATTGTTTTGGTGGTGTCATAATAAGGTTAATTGGAATTAGTGTTAGGGATGGTGTTCATGGATTAAAGTTTATTCTCTAGTGATAGACAAATTAGGGATATTAAGAAGAGTAAAAAAGGGGAAGACAATATATGAGAGAGAGGCATGTGCTTCAAACTCTTAGTATTATTTGAGAAGTCACGATATGTCCTAAAATCCCCTATTGAGTTTATGAAGTCAGTGCTCAGTATTACATTAATAATAGCATAAACTTGGTTCTTTTCACTTTTGGTAAATGAAAACAATGTATTCGTTAAAGAAGATAATGCTTGTGCTCATACTACTACTAATCTGACCAAGTAAGATCTTCAGAATGTGAATATGCTCTATGGCCTCTATTTCATCAGACTTTTCTATTATTGAACATATGTGGGACATAACTGAAAGACAATTGAATTGCCATCAGCTACTAACCCTGTACTAATAATATCTCATTTGCAAGGTCAAATTAAGCAGTTTTGAATAATATAAATCAGGATAAAGTATGACATCTTTATGACACAATAGAGAGGTTGAGGCGCACGTTTTAAACGTGTAAACGTGTACGTGTGACGTTCGGCGCCGCTTTCCCGTAAGCCTAAAAGTTTGACAATGGTGTTTGGATAGTCGGTGGAATCACGCTCGACATTCCAAACACCATCGTCAAACTTTTAGGCTTACGGGAAAGCGGCGCCGAACGTCACACATACACGTTTACACGTTTAAAACGTGCGCCTCAACCTCTCTATTGTGTCATAAAGATGTCATACTTTATCCTGATTTATATTATTCAAAACTGCTTAATTTGACCTTGCAAATGAGATATTATTAGTACAGGGTTAGTAGCTGATGGCAATTCAATTGTCTTTCAGTTATGTCCCACATATGTTCAATAATAGAAAAGTCTGATGAAATAGAGGCCATAGAGCATATTCACATTCTGAAGATCTTACTTGGTCAGACTAGTAGTAGTATGAGCACAAGCATTATCTTCTTTAACGAATACATTGTTTTCATTTACCAAAAGTGAAAAGAACCAAGTTTATGCTATTATTAATGTAATACTGAGCACTGACTTCATAAACTCAATAGGGGATTTTAGGACATATCGTGACTTCTCAAATAATACTAAGAGTTTGAAGCACATGCCTCTCTCTCATATATTGTCTTCCCCTTTTTTACTCTTCTTAATATCCCTAATTTGTCTATCACTAGAGAATAAACTTTAATCCATGAACACCATCCCTAACACTAATTCCAATTAACCTTATTATGACACCACCAAAANCTTATTTAATTTTTGTCTTGTTTTGGTTGTTATGCCTTGACTCTGGTCTGGCATAGTACACAGCAATAGCTAACAACTGAGTATAACCCACTACATCCAACATAATAATAGTAATGAATATTTCTTAACAAGCAATGTAGCAATATTTTATTAATAAAAATGAGGCGATGTTACCATATCTCTGCTTAAATATCTCTTTTGTGTGCATTTAGAAGATTCATAACTGAACAGTTTTATTCATGATTCCTCTGTCAGGATATTGATAATATCGCCTAAGTTGTCTCAGGAACTTGAAACGTCTACATATATAGGTCAAAAATTAAAATACTCCATAGGTTTGAGCAAAATGTTGACTCTTTACCCAAAAATTTCAAAAAATCTTCTGTAATATTTCTTAACCCACAAGGTGTTGTGTGAAAAAAGTTTTTCATGGATTGCTCACAGTCATTGGATATTTTTATAATAAAGAGAATATCTGAAATTTGTTTTAACATGAAAGTTATTTAAAAGAAAACATATTAAATATCAACATTAAAATTTATTTAACATAAAGTATGAATTTTTTTTAATTTTTAAATTTGATTTTTAAAAAGGACAATAAACTTCACTGAAAGTGTATTGCATATGAAAATATCACAGAAGAAACTCTAATGCATTAAACATTTCTGTGAAATATAATAAAATATTATTTCACAGCACTTGTGTGATAGTAAGCTTAATATACGATATTAAAAATTTAACTTAGTCATCATCAGACTCAGAAATACTTTCAGTTGCACACTGGATACAAGCTACAGTGATATATTTTTTGCAAATGACATGCTGACAAATGTGACCTTTAATCATCGATTTTCAGTTTTGTGTCCAAGTACAATAGCTGCATCATCCTGGTCCTTCTTCTTCTTCTCAAGGCTGTCTTACCTCTTCTTCCAGTCCCAACATTTGTCTAATATTTCTTTTTAGTTGTTGAGGAAGATCTGGCTAATGATTGCGTTCTATCAAATAATTACGACATAGTTCCTTCACTAGTTCTTTGAGATAGTTCTGCCTCAGTATGTTGAACTCTCCTATTTGATGTTGTAAATAATAAAGCTGTTTAACTCAATAATGTTGAAAAGGATAAAAAAACAAGGTAAGCAGCCAACACTGGTCCTTTCTTTCAAGTATCTTGCTATATACTCATCAACTATGTCAACTCCCCTTTTGTGAAGTTATAAAATGTAAGAATAAATGGCTTTTTAGCATTTCTGGATTCTGGATCAATTTCATCAGTGCTATGCATTGTAGAGAGGAGTGGATCAACTCTATTTTTTTGGTGCTGTAGACTACTAAAGTTATTCTGCCTCTAAAAGCAAATATACTTGAGTTTACTGAGAGAATTCTTGTGTTTGTAAACTCAGGTAGGATCTCTCTCTTGTTTTTCCGTAATGTTCTAACTAATGTTGACCTGTGATTCTTTAGAAGACATTTTGCTAATGGTATAGAAATGTACCAATTATCAGTGGTTACATTCAGGAATTCCAGTATTGCTTACTGGCTGAACAAGTCTAGATACTACAGCTAGTCCTGAATTTTCTACTGTAAAAGGGCTCTTTGGTTGCTGCCACATATATGCTTCTATGTTCATGGTATAAAAAGTCTTTGCACAAGTCATGGCAAATATCTTAATACCATACTTTACTGGTTTATTTTTTATGTATTGTCTAAAACTGCAATTATCTCTGAATGATTTGAGCATCTTGTCAATTGTGACGAATATTTATGACAAAGTCAGTTTTACACTTTTTCACAATGTTAGACCAAACCTCACATATTGGAGCAAGCTTGTCAAAGTTACGTGGTTGTATCCTAGTTTCAGAATCATCGAATCTTACAGATCTAATCAGAGACTTGAACCTTTGTATATTCATGCAGTTATGAAAGAATTCCAACCCAGTTTGACTTTCAATTTGTGGTCAAACTGGGTTGGAATTCTTTCATAACTGCATGAATATACAAAGGTTCAAGTCTCTGATTAGATCTGTAAGATTCGATGATTCTGAAACTAGGATACAACCACGTAACTTTGACAAGCTTGCTCCAATATGTGAGGTTTGGTCTAACATTGTGAAAAAGTGTAAAACTAACTTACCAAAGTTCAGGTGCAGAGCTCTAAGAATTCCTGCCATGTAGAGAAGACCAATAAAAGCCTCCATTTCACTCCTTGACATATCACATGCATTTCATTCCCAGATACAGTTTGAACATATTTTTTGTATACTTCACAATGTCATCCAAAATTTTATTTGTAAAAAATAACCTCCAAGCAGAAGCAGGTGAATTCACACCTTTTTGTGCTTTCACACCAGGAAGGTGTCTAACTAAATTGTGATCAGCTGTTTGTCTATTTTGTGTGGGAAAGTGAATTCCCCATTTAGTTTTTCCATTCCTTTGTGTATGTTCAGGCTTTATTTCAATTTCTGCTTAATCACCTCCAGACTGCTCTGAAAGTGTATCCTGATCCTGTCTGTCTACATTATCTTCTAACTCATCATTGGAGAATATCTTCAAGTGCTTCAATAGTGGGTTTGTCAGCAAACAAATGTCTTTGAATTGCACCTGGATTTTCTTTTCTTTTTTCTTCTCTACTCTTTTCTTTTTCCACAATTTCTAATAGCCTCAAAATTCTTTCTTTTAGTTTTCTATTCATTTAGCTTGACAACAATCACTAAAAACTAAGAATATATAAATAATACTAATGCAGGTATACCTTGCCTTATGTCGGTAATTGGTTCCAGGAGAGGCGACTTAAGTCGAAAAACGACGTAAGTCAAATTTACTTGTCTCCAAATTTACATGCCACTAGGCTAAACCACAAATAACCATTCCCAGTTCTGTATTTTATTTATAAAAGGCATTTTAATAATATATGGTTAATAAGAATTTATTTGAAGCTTACAAACAAATTAATTTTAGTTTTTAATATAGTACAGGAAAAAAGTACAGTCAACCCCCCCATAACACTGTTGATAATTCTGTTTTATATGAATTCCATGTTGTACAAGTCACTTAGATTTTACAAATACATGAGCCATTCACAGCCTGGCACACACATTTGTAAAATCTAAGTGACTCGTACAACATGAAATTCATATAAAACGGAATAATCAACAGTGTTATAGGGGGTCGACTGTAATCTAAATTTACGAATACATGTATTGTACGTACATATTTGTAAATATACATGTTTACAATTTGGTCATGTTTACAGTATATCACAAATTCTTTATTTGTGAATGTGGTTTGCTCTAAGACATTATAAAATAAGATGATTTTGTAAGGTTAAATAATAAATACAGTTATTAAAATTATTTTGCGATAGTAAAAAATAAACTAATTTATGTAAAATTTACCAATATCAAGTGGCGCTGATGACGACACCAAACAGTAGATATTGGAACTACCGTGGAAAATGCCAATATTGAGCTCTTAAAGACTGCTAAATAAGATGACAACACAGAGTCATAGATGTTTTCATATTTCATTCTCTATGATTTATGATGATTATATTAACATTTACTGTAAATGTATGGATTTTAATATGATTTTATGTGCTTTTAACACTTTTCTAGTGATACTACGATTTCAATATTTGTGGCGGACAGACGTAAAGTCGAATAAAATGACTTAAACTTGCCCATTAGGTCATGCATAATTGAAAACACCAAGTGTTAAGAAAAAGCTGTTTATTCAGCAAGTAAAAAAATGACAGTTACAGAAATGGCAGGAAAAGTCAGTAGATGAGTCTATAGAAAAGTACTGAAAAGTGGGAGTGTACAGTATTCAGGTTAATGAAAACGACAACAAAAAAAACAAACATGGTTGAAAAGACTGGCTGCATTCCATGACGGGTTAGTCAGTCATAATTGCTTATCTTACAACATAAACAATGTGTCTAAAAAAATGTGCATAAACATAAACTGTTTTTTAGCTTTCATTAGACAGGTTTTGATAAAAAAATTTCTTAATAAATAGTATTTCAACATATATATAAATTTTGAAAAATTTATAAGGAAATATTTCACTTATAAATTAGTATAAAATTTATTCTGTTATACTGTATATACTCTTTTTATTAAATAATAATGAAATATGTGAAAAATTAGCAAATGTATGTACAAAATTCAATTTGTATTTAGAAAATATTTTGATAGAAAATTTAATACATTATTTTTAGCTTTAAGATTACAATATTAATTAATTTAGAATGATGACTTTTCAGGTGCATATGAGTGCAATGAAAATCAAGCATCTCGATCTTTATCCTATAAAGATGCAAAAGTTGCATTAATTGAAATGTGTGATACACAGGTAATGGAATTAAAATAGTTAATATTAAGTAAATTATACTAAAATGATCAGTTATTTCCATTTTTGAAGTAAATTATACTGAGTTTTAATAATATTTAATATGAAAAACTAATAATTTATGGAATTGTTATCATTTTTTTAAAATTGATTTACATTTATTGTTTCAATACTTATACATGGCTGATAGTAAAAACAATATGCATTATTTTTTAATTATATGAGATATGATTTGGGGCTTACATAGTTTTGTTGAATAAAATAACTTTTCTCACTGTAATTTATATATCAATTTTAGTTGAAATATTAGAAATGATATACAGTAGAGCATCGATTATCCAACCCTCGATTAACCGACCGTCCTAGTCGGCAAATTTCAAATGTCCGCTAGTGATGTGGCGCTACAACATTTGGCTGTGTCTTGGCTACTTTAATATTATTTTTATGTGTTTCAGCTGGCAACACTCATTCGACCATGAAAGGGAGCCAGTATTTAAACGAGGCTTAATTTTCTAATTTTTAACGATACAATAGCGACGATTATTATTTAAAAAAATTTTTGTTAGGCTTAACATTGATGAAAATTCAACGCGAAGTAGGTTAATAGCGATATACTAATATACTAATTACATGGGATATAATAATATACTACACTAATAATGGATTTTTTCATACTTTTCGGTTATCCGACTTTTCAATTATCCGACCAATCCCAGTCCCCAGTTGAGTCGGATAATCGAGGCTCTACTGTACTAGCACTTTATTATTCAGAAAGATGATGATAATTTCTAATTTTTTTAGTAGTAAATTATTTGAAAGTTGTAACTATTATATAATAAAAATATGTAATAGAAATAATCCATTATTTGGTTTATCAGTTAGTTGTCTATTCAATGCTATGAGATTAGGAGGAATATAATTTACTTTCGTACAACTAATCAAAAGAAAAAAAATTATTGATATTATTATGTATTCAAAAAAAGGAACAATAATAATTACTTCAGAGTATATTTGAAGTATGAGATACCTTCTAATCAGTTATCCTACAGTAAACACAAAACAATCATACTAAAATATGTATTGCATATAAATTTTACAGTTTGATAAACAAGATTTTGTTAAAATTAATTAGCTTGTTGTATGAAATAGGAAGTAGAATATTTCTAATATGTATGAAGCAAATGTTTGTAATGACTAAAACACTATTTTCAGAAAGTATTTTATTTTATTATAAAATATTTATATATGATAAAATGAAAATTTTTTAAAATTTAATCTTTAAGAAATTAATATAAATGTTAAAAATATTAAAAATGAGTATACTGGATGAAAAGATGAATATTTTTTCCATAGGAAAATTAAACAAAATTTAAAATGGTTATTAAATTTTGTTGTCATATTATTATTATTTGCATTTTTTAAAAAAAGTAAAAAATATTTTATTTATTTTTGATACAATATAATAAAAAATTTCTTCTAGATACATTATACATTTCACACACCAGTAAAATGCCATTGTTTTGATCTAAAATAGTATAAAGTTTTCATTTGCATTACTATTGCTTGGTGTTGTTTTTCATAAGCAAACATCTATTTCAAAATTAATTCAATAAAATTGTGTGTAATTCAACAATCATTATCATATATCAAATATGAATTATTTCCATAAGTCCTTTTCTTCTTGCTCAAAATTTGAAATATTCACAATTTTTATAAAGCATTAGTTGATGATTAATGATTTTTGAGATGAAGCAGTAAATAAAAGTGAATACAAATTTAAAATTTATTATTATTATTTGTTACTGTATTTCAGAAATTTACCACATAAATTCAAAAAAATCACAACTAAATTAAACACCATAACACATGTTGAGCTTACTGCAATTTAATATTCAAACGCTTTCAGCTTATTCTTATAGGCTAAAAGCAATTGAATATTAAATTGCAGTAAGCTCAGCATGTTTTATGGTGTTTAATTTAGTTGTAAGTAAACTGCTGAGGAAGTGGGGATAGTTTCAAAAAATCACTTCATTATTTTTAATTTGGATTATTGAGAATTTGTCTTCAAATGTATTTTAATACATTTTATTATCAATAAATAATTGATTGACTAATATGTTACATATTATCAGTTAAATTACTATAAATTTTTATTATAGCAAAGAGAAACATTTGAAGAAAATTTTAGTAAAGCATTAGATTTGATAATGAAGAATAAAGACTGGGGAATTACGTAAGGATATTAAATTATATTTTTTGTTTACATAATTATTTAATATAAATAGATAAAAGTTATTTTTATATTTTGTTGTTTGCATTTTTTATATTTTTTATATTTGCTTTGTGTTGTTATAACGCATTCTTAACATTCAATATAAAAATAAACCAATTTAAAATAAAATTGTTAAGTAATTATTAAAATGTTTTTTTTATATTTTGTTTCTAAATATTTCATAATTCTGTCAGAAGAAATGTTAAAAGATTATTTAATTACAATATCAGCAAGTCAATTATTGGAGATTAATTTAAAAATGTCAGGTTTATATATTATTTGAATTTATGAATAAAACTTTATTATTTAAATATGATCAAAAATACGTACAACGTATATTGGTGTAAAGGGTCATTTTGTTTTATTTATTTTGATGAAAGCTCTATAGAAATAAAAACTATTAGAAACGGTTTAAAAGATCATAAAGCTGTCAAGTTATCTTTCTAAAAAATTAGTCTTTTTAAATATTTGATAATAAACAACTGTTATTAAATGATTTTAAATAATTTAAATAACATTAATTATATCTTACAATCTTATATTAGTTGTTTATCTTTCAATGCCCCATTGAATTGTTTTTAAGTCAAGGTTTGAATTTCTCCATAATAAAAGTCTCAGACACCAAAAAATAAAATACAGTGGAACCCCGGTTAATGACCAAATCGGTTAACGAACTTTTATTTTGCAAAAATTTTGTCTCGGATAACGAACGTAACAGTATTTTGTGTCAAATTTTAGTTGGTGTTAGGCACTCGCGAGTTAAGCATTGCTTTTCCGAGTGTTTGTACTATACTTCTTTTTTCAGTTTTGTGATTTATATATTTAATCAATATGGCATCCAAGAAAGAAAAAAGTCATAGTGGCAATAGAAAACGACAACGCGCTATCGCATTTTAGAAAAATTTTGATTAAAAGAATAAGACAATCAACTTTAGATCAATTTCTTGTTCCTTACGGAAAGAGTTTGTTTGTTTGTTAAGTTATGGCAACGCAACACTTGGGCGATCTGCCTAGGGGAA